TGGGGGGAGTGGCGGGTCTGGAAGGACGAGAGGCAAAACGGCAGCAGACAAAGGGAAAGGAAAAGTTGCAAGCACCTCCACTACACCCGCATCGATAGTGACCTCCAAAGACCCCATGCTGGCAATGGACCATTCGCTGCAACACACCCTTTTAACCCCTTGTCAACTCCCGCTCCCCGCCACCCCCCCTCCCCGAACACACATGCCTTTCACAAATTTCTCTGCGGATTCGGGCTCCTCGCAGCGAGCGCAGTCCAACCCCATCTTCAAAAAAAAAAATAAAAAAAATTCTGGGATGTTTTTTGGCTCGTCTGGTTTTGCCGGCCGGACCCCCCCCAGTCCGTCTGGCCGGTCTGTCAGGCCCGGTCCGTCTGGACAGGGCGTCGGCTTAACCCAGTTATTTTTTCTTTTTGCTGCGCTGCACTGATTTCTGGCACCCCAGACGGCACATAACGCACGATACTCTCCACCATGGACTGTCTTTTTTATGAAGGACTGTCTCTGAGAATCATACTTGAGCCGACACATTTTTGTATTTTAAACTAGGCTACCAGAGTGGCCCGGGACCACTTGCCCGGCCGGGCCAAGAAAAGATTAAAAAAAAGAAAAAGAAGAAGTTATTTTAAATTTGGTAAAGAATTTCTATGTGACCCTGAGGCAAAAGTTGTTCAGTTGATTTTTCTGGTAAAGAATTTATATGTGACCCTGATAGCAAGCAACCAGTGAGTGAGCTGTAAACAAGTCTTTCTTATATTGCCAAAAACAGAAAAACAAAATGTCAAAAAACAAAAATTCGAGGAAAAAAATTCCGAAAATCCAAGGGAAAAAAAAAAAAAAAAAAAAGCTTTGATGCTACCAAAAACAGAAACAACTCCTGTTCAAAGTTGCAAAGGACCCGCACATCAAACATGCAAAAAAGTCTGCATCAGGCAGTCATAAAACCACTTACCAAGCCCTGAGCCCCATAACCTAGCCGTCGTACAGCAATCCAATCTAGGATGGCATTGGCAGCAATGGCTATAATGCTTGTATAGAATGGTGGTTTACCATCGCCCAAAGCATAGAACACACGGACCAGTACGTCTCTCGATAAGTAGATGATAGAACCGGACACATCTGTAAGCAATGCGGCAAACAAACAAACAAACATCAGATCACGTGACAGGGCAGAGCACGGATGCGAACAGGGGTTGAAGAAGAGAAGGCTTGAGCATGTAAAAGTGAGCACACATTTGAACACAAGGGCCGATGGATAGAGGAATTGAGCATGCATGTGAATAGAGGGGTTGGAGGATAGAGGGGTTGGAGGGGTTGTTGACGGATAAGAGGGGTGGAGTGTGCATGTGAATAGAAGGCATTGGATAATAGAGGGGCTGTTGAAGGATAGAGGGGTTGAGTATGCATGTGAATGGAGGGGGTTTGAGCGTACACATGAATAGAGGGGTTGACGTATAGAGAGGGTTTGCCCAATTGGCCGTGAACAGGGGTCGAAGGACAGAATGGTTGAGCATGGTAAAAGTCACCGGATCAAAAAGTATTGCTTTTCCCAATCGGCAACATTTCTTGTACATGCCGGTGATGCTGCAGCTTTCGAAAACCAGTGCTAGTTCTTTCTCTTCACGACGTCCATGCTCGTTTCACAGAGTCTCATGCTTAAACTTTTTTTTTTTTAACTGTCTCATGCTTAAACTACCAGTTGTCATTCCGTCGTTTGGTACGTTATCCAGTTGAGGTAAACAAGCACATCCTGAGCTCCGTTTCGTCTAGGGGTATAGGACATTGCTTTTTCGTGGCAAACACACGAGCCTTTCTGTGGTACCCTGGCAGTTTTTTTTTTTACTATAATTGATGTATCGGACCCAGGGCAGGCCAGACCATACATCCCAAACGCGGCCTCCGGGTTCCCCAGATATTTTCCAGAACAACTGGTGCTTCGACACAATGGTGCTCAGCACGGCAATCGACATCCATTCAGAGATGATAAGATCTTGTGGGACTGTGGGACACACAAAAAATTCCTCGCCCTTGTCAATCTTTCCTTCGTGTTCCTTAAATAAAACCACCAATCGGCTTTCGCGACCAGCCTCTGGGCTCAGGCCAGTTTCTGCGGACCGAAGAAAAAAACTGTTGCGGCCAGATCGGCCATCTAACAGACCCGCTGAAAAATAAGCGGCCCAGTGGGAAACCGAAACCATGCCCGTTGCAAAATTGTGGCGGTGACATTTAATTCTTAAAAGGGCTATCGCACTGCGGCATATTCATTCTTAAAAGGGCTTTTGCACTGCGGCATATTCAAATAAAAAGTGTGAAGTGTTAGACAAGGTTCCGAATGTGCGGCAATGGCCCTATAGGCAGGCACTGAACTGGCCACTGCCGTGCTATTTAAGGGGGCTCCCATTGATGATGCTCTGGCCACGGAGGCGTTTCACATGTTGGTGGCTCAGAAAACAACAAGGCGTCATCTACCGAACTTTTCCCCAGCATTACACACACTGATTACCATGAATGTAAACAAGCTACTTTTCTGGTCCAATACACAGTAGTGATGAGGATGCATTGTGTTTAGGGGAACACAGTCGCTAGCCCTTGATATCGGTGCGACCAACAAGGTTTTGAAGTTTGAATTCTTGACTTGGTGCTTGGCATGAACACTTCAGGCTTCAGCGACCAGGTGCATTGTGTATGTATACATGCTCAACCCCTCTACGTTATTGCCAGACTCAGTCTTCAAGGCATCCATCCATGAGGATATCCTCGTCGATGTGATGTCGACAGAGCTCAGTTTTTGAAAAAAATGAAGAACTCGCAATTGTGACTCTACCCTCTTCACCCGAATAGAACGCACGGTCATTATATGTAGCATATCAGAAAGTGAAATGCACTGAAAGCCTAGGATCTAGCAATGATGAAAGTGGCAACAACCAGCAGCATAGGTGCAACATTCACAAGGTGTCAATGTGCACGATGCAAAGAGTGAAACAACGAGAATTCAACAACAACACATTCGTATCATTATCATCATAGGCTGGGAAGCAGCGCACTGGAAGATTTAGTATCAAGAGGACACGTGGACAACAACATCAAAGGGAGAAACTTCGGAAGGGCAAGACACTACAAAGATTGCCCTTCCGCTCACACATGTGGGAAGAGATCCATAGACATGCGAGAGAGGAGGGGGAGGGACATAGAGGTAACCAAGTCCAACCCAAGTCTGATCTCCGAATGTCGCACACAGCTCAATCCCAATGTAGAGTGTAAGTCCGATCTAAATGTCGTGTCCTATAAGGCAGAAGGCCATGTCCAAAACAATGTCTGCAGTTACCTCTATCTCTACTCTGATAAAGAAGAAGAAGAAGAAGAAGAAGAAGAAGAAGAAGAAGAAGAAGAAGAAGAAGAAGAGAGAAGAACTTCGGAGGAGTAGGAGGAGAAGAGGAGAGGAGAAGAAGAAGAAGAAGAAGAAGAAGAAGAAGAAGAAGAAGAAGAAGAAAGCTAGGCGCTTTCTGCACTTACCTGGCGATGGCTGA